CGCCCGCACCGCGCGCTGCGCTGCGGCGGCCCCGACGGCGCGGGCGGGCGGGTCTGTGCGGAGCCGCGTCCTGCCCCGCGGCGGGCACGGAGGAGCGGGGCCGCCCGAGGCGCCCGTCCCTGCCAGCAGCAGCCAGGGCTGGTGGGGCCTCCCCACGTCCCCGCTCTCAGCGACCTCGGGCCCCCCTGGTGCACAGCTCGCCCCACCATGGGGGGCTGCCRTGCAAAACCCTCGTCCGATGGGATGGGCAGACGGACTGCGGGCGCCCGCAGACGTGGCCGTTGCAGCCGGTGCCTCCAAAACACTGCGGCCTCCACAAATTCATGGGGCCGGTGCAAGGAAGCCCCAGTCCCAGCTAAACCTGGTTTCCCGTGGAGGGGAAGGGGCCACGGCTTCTCCCCCATTCCCAGGCTGCTCGTCCCGTCCAGCGCCGCTTGCAGCCTCCGCGGCCACTTCCATTCTCGCAGCTGGGCTCCCCTTCCCCTCTGGCCCTGCTGCCACTGGGCTCTCGGTGCCAGCTGCTCCCCGGCCCTCGAACCAACTCTGCTATTTTGTCATCATTTTTGTTATTCAAAAGGAAAATAATTGCCCGCGTTTGGGTGAGGTCCCTGCGAGGTGACAGCCCGTGGGGCAGACGGCCCCGCGGGGCCCCGGACACGTCGGCAGCGGCCGCGCACAGAAGRTGCCGGCGCTGTCGCCAGCGTGGGCAGGAACAGGGAGAAGCTGTGGAATTGCTTGGGGAGAAGGGAGCGCCGGGAGCTCTTCCTAAGCGCAGCCCAGTTATCCCGCAGTGGCCCGTGTGGGATCCCGAGCTCATCCATGGGAGATGTCCATGGGCTCACCCTGTTGCMCGGAGCGCAGCGTCTCCGGCCTCATCCCGCCGCTTCCCGCAGGACAAGGCCCGGAGAATTGGAAGATCCAGCGCTTTCCCAACACAATTCTGTTCTCTCCCGTTTTGCAGGATGTGCAAAATGCCGGAGAGCCAGAACGGGCAGGATTTGGGCATTGTCACCTTGTGGGATTTCCCGGCCTTGCTCCTCACTGGAGTTTGCAGAATGCTGGGCAAAGAGCCCGGAATCTTATCCAGGAGCATCCAGGCAGGTGGCACCTTCTGCAGGTGAGAATCAAGGAGGAATCCGTGTCATCCCCGGCACTGCAGCGTGCAAGACGCCTCTGCAAGGATGCCTTAAAACCAGCCCAGAGCCCCCTCTGGTTCTCCTGGCTCCCGTGCCTTGGGCCTCCGGGATGGGGATTGCGGAGGCTTTGACCACAGAGCTAATAAATAGATAAATAAGGAAGCACGTGGAGCCGGGGTTGTATKCCAGTGCTCCAGCTCCGGGAGCTGCAGCTTGAATCGGACACCGTTTCACAATGACTGCTCCGAAATAATGTCGCCGTGTTAAGCAAATGCCCAGCAAGAATCCCGACAGCCTCTACCTCCATCCCAGTCGAGACCAGCCTTCCCCGAGGCCTCCGCTGCGTCGCGGCAGCTCAGTCCCTCCGGCAGCTTCCGCGGCTCCGGAGCGAGAGGTATCCGCACAATTCCCAYCGGGAGGAGCGGATGCTTCTCTGCACTTCCCTTAGCCGCCTTTGCCGTTCCTGGGAAATGAAGAAGAAATAAAAGTGTCCCCCCATCCCGGAGCCCCGGCTCTGTGCGAGCCCCAGCAGCAATGGGCTTGGGGACCAGCGCGCCCCGGTGCAAAGGAAAGGGAGGCTGCAGAAACCAGGGAATCAGGTGCTTTTCCCAGGGCATTGCTTTTCCCTGGGACACGCATCCCGGGACRTTGCATCCCTCCCGGGATGGCCGGGCAGGAGCGATGGTTGTCAATGCAAGACTTTGGGCCGAGCACCTTGGCCTC